GTGGTAGTAGAAGTAGCAGTAGAACTTGCAGTATTATTAGTAGTAGAAGTTGCAGCAGTAGCAGTGGTACTAATACCAGAAGCAGTATTTGTGGAGGTAGTAATCGAAGTAATACAAGTACTAGCGGTAGCATTGATATTATTACTGGTAGTAGTAGTAGTGGTAGTAGAAGTAGTAATAGTAGTAGTAGTATTAGTACCAGCATTCGTAATGCTACTTGTGGTACAAGTAATAGCCCTAGTGGTAGAAACGACAGTGATAGTAGTATTAGTAGTAGTAGCAATAATATTAGTCGTAGCGTAGTAGTACCAGTAGTAGAAGTAATAGAAATTGTAGAAGTAGTAGTAATTTTCGTGGTAGTAGTAGTAGTAGCAGTAGTATTAGTAGTAGTAGGAATGGATGTAGTATTTTTTGTATCAGCAACAGCAGAGTTAGTAGAAGTTTTAATGGTAGTAATCGTAGCAGTAGTATTATTATTAGGAGCAGCAGCAGCAGCAGCAGATCAGATCAGATTTATTAAGGGAAATGTAAGCGAGCGCCTTTGAACTCCCTTTTGGTTACAATAACGTCATAAAAAAACAATGTGTAGGGCAAGTGTGAAAAAAATTAAGTCAGCAATTACATACAACGAGCATTGGTCACTGGTATGAATTTGTCTGTGAATGCCTTCTATGTCAAAATTGTACAATATCCAGTACAGTACTGAATGGACCAAGTAATATCGAAGCAAGCGCATATGTGGCAGTCAGGAGATAGCGAAAATTGTAAAACGTAATGTTACTAAAATATAGGGAGTAGCACACTTTGTAACAGAAAACGTTGGGTGGGGCCGGTGGCACAGGGGGAGGGGGAATTCGTTAGTTTCTGATGCTGTGGAGGTACATATCCCTGTACTGGTCAAGCTTTCTCTTAAATGAGTCCACGGATGAGGACATGACGACGTCCACAGGCAAGGCATTCCTTGCATTTACCACTCTGTGGCTGAAGAAGGACCTCCTTGCGTCCAGTCTCGCTCCTGTCACTCGTAGTTTCAGAGGATGTCCTCTCAAGCTAGTAGTAGTGGCCAGCTCAAAGAAGTCGCCGGATGCGAGGCAGCAGTCCTGACTCCGTAACATTCTAAACGTTTGAATTAAGTCGCCACGTAGTTGTCTGTAGTCCAGGGGAAAGAGATTAAGATTTGACAGTCTAGTTTCGTAAAGTAGGTTTTGATGACCTCTGACAAGATTGGTTGCCCGTCGTTGGACTTTTTGGAGGATGGTACGATCCTTAACAGTCCAGGGTCTCCAGGCCTGAATGGCAAATTCTAACTGTGGGCGCACAAAAATCCCGAAGACCTTGCGAAAGCACTGTTCGTCGAACTTGGCAAATGCCCGCTTAATGAGATATAAGCTGGACATTGCGGATTTCGCTGCTTTCAAGCAGTGGAATGATGGCTTTAGTGAAGATGTTATCCACACCCCTAGGTCTTTCTGAACCCCTTCCAGTGGCAGCGGCGTGTTATTTAGATAGTACGTCTGCCGGTGCGCAGAGCTGGTTCTGCCAATCCTCAGAATGTTGCATTTGGTAACATTAAATGGGAGGAGCCTGTGGCCTGACCATTTTTCAAGTCGGTCTAAGTTTGCCTGTAAATTTGCTTCATCGTCCACGTTGCGGATGACGGTCCAAAGCTTTATATCGTCAGCAAACATGGTAATTTCGCAGGCCAATCCATGGATACAGTCATCAATATAGATGAGGAAGAGGATAGGGCCAAGAACGGAGCCCTGAGGTACTCCGCTCGTAACCGTCACCTCTGCCGAGTGCTGGCCACCAAGACGAACAGTCTGGGACCGACCGACCAAAAATTTTTCAATCCTCTTCAAAAACTTGCCTCTTACCCCTATGCGGCTGAGCTTCTATAGGAGATGTTGGTGTGGCACGCTGTCAAGGGCCTTCTTGAAGTCTATGTAGGCCACAAGCACAACGTTTCCTTCATCAATCGCTTGGGTCCACTGGTCAAGACGGTAGAGTAGATTGGTCAAGCAGGACCTCCCTATGCGGAAACCATGCTGTGCATCGCTCAGAAGATGATTTTGCTCTAAAAACCGCATCAGTTCGCGTTTGATTATTCGCTCTATAACTTTGCAGCATGCTGGTGATTTTCTTTTTCGACATAGGGCAGTATCTGGTGATAAGTTCATTCAGTATGGCCTTAAGTTCTAACCAGTCCTTGAGGACACACCCCGTAAACGCTGCTTTCCAGTCTCTACGACGCATGTCGAGACGCATTTGGTTGGAGTCACAACGCCATATGTTGCGTTTAATCACGATGCTATGATCGGGTACAGAGAAGAGCGAATACTCCCACTGTAGGACTACATGGTTGCTTTTTTCCGAGAGGGGGTAGACAGGTTACAACATCAACGCTTTCCGGTGCCTTTGTCAGTACAAGGTCCAAGCAGTTAGCTAGTTGTACTTCAAGTAGTCTGGTTGGGGATAAGACGTGTTGTGTGAGATGCGATCTTTGCACAGATTTTAGGAGGCGGCGATCAAAGTTAAATTATGAGCCCGGGGTAGAAGTCCGATTCCAGTCGATATTCGGAGCGTTAAAGTCGCCCATAATCATGGCATTGGGTCGGATCGAAATCGCTTCTAATTCCTCTAGTAGACTACTGTTTGATTGCGGGTCGTTCCTCGGTGGGCGGTAGACCGTCAGGATCTCGAGAGGTTGCGAGCCCGGCATTTTGACTGTGAGCCAAATTGTTTCAGTTGTGCGCGCGGGCTGCCCCTCTTTTTCTGACGCAAAAAGGCCATATTTGACATACATGAGCACCCCTCCACCTGGACGTCCCAACCAGTCCTTTTTGAACAAGTAATAACCGGATAAAGCGACTTCGCGATCATCTACGCTCGCGGACAGCCACGTTTCAGTTATGGATATTACATCGGGTAAGGTTCGGTTAACGTAGATCTTGAGTTCATCTAATTTAGATAGCAGACTTTGCGCATTGAAATATAAGCATTTTAGCTTTTTTGCCTTTGGTAAGCTGGCTATGACGCCGCCTTTGCCAATTGCCTCGGCTGTGGTGACAAACGCACGGGCCGTGTCCATATGAAGCGGGACGGTCGCTCGACTATGCAGTTGTTGTAAATAACCAGGCCTTGTTTGCCATTCATTTATCGCATCCTTAACTCCTAAACTAACTGTCGGCGTTTTATTCGCTCCAGTGGTGTGCAATCCGACTGAAAAAGAACTCCTTGGTGGAAATATTTTAACCAAAAACGTATTGAGAGGATGAGATCTGCATACATGCAGAACTGGTAGTGTCGAAGTCCACGTTCTGCGAAGGTGGTGTCGTAAATTGGTGACGATGCGAATACTGCTGTCTGTAATTCAATTGTCTAAAATCCGGTTGACTGCAGGAGCGTCCCGAGTGCGGAAATCTCGAAGAATATTAACCCCTCGGAGGACGAAAATTTGAAACCAAATTCGAAACGCGCGCGCCAAATTCGAATTATTAGTACAAGTAGTAACTTTAGTATTAGTAGCAGCAGCTGCGATAGAAGTATTAATATTAGCAGAAAAGTAGCATTTGTTGTACTAGGATGAGTAATACTGGTAGTGCGAATAGTACAAGTAGTCGTAATAGTATTAACAATGGTAGCTGTATTAGTAGTATAAGTAATACCAATAGCAGGGTTAGAAGGAGTAGCATTATTAGTGGTATTAGTCATAGTAGAAGAACTATACGTAGCAGTGGTAGTATTAGTTGTAGAAGAGGTAGTAGAAGTGGGAGCGGTTAAATTAGTAGTAGAAGCAATTGCAGCGGTATAATTATTGGGAGTGATTTTGGTATTTGTAGTAGTAGCATTAGAAGTAATAGAATTATTAGTATAGTAAAATTGGTAGGAGTTGTGTTGGAACTATTAGTAACACAGGACTAAATAGTAATAGTAGTAGCAGTAATAGAATTAGTAGTTTAATAATAGTAGTAATACTAAAAGTAGTAATTGTTGTTGTTGTTGTACTAGTAGTCGATATGTTAGCAGGTGTGGTGGCAATATTAGGAGCAGTAATAGTATTCCTAGTATTAGTAGTAGTTGTTGACTTATTAACAATATGATCAGAGTTGGCAGTGATAGCAGTGGGGGTAACTTAAATAGAAATATTAGCAAATGTATGAGTGCTGGGGGTTGATAGCATATCAGTATCAGTATCAGCTTATTAAGGGAAATATAGGCAATCGCCTTTGAACTCCCTATTGGTTACAAGTCGTCGGAGAAAAACATGGATAAATGGGAAGGTGAAAAAGGGATTTTGTACATACTCGCTGACAGCTGACAGCTAGTCGAAAAAGAGTAACAATTAACTGTTACTCACTAATTACAAGTAGTATAAACACGTATAATATGGTACAGGGTTATGTGAGTGGATGTGAGAGTGGTAATTGGGAAGCTTGATGCATGTCAAGTCTACACTTGAAGGAATTCACACAGGGGGAGGTTACAACATCGGTAGGCAGGGCATTCCAGGCTGCAACCACTCTGTTACTGAAAAAGGACTTTCGTCCATTGGTTCTTGATTTCCCTGCGCGTAGTTTTAGGGGATGACCGCGCAAAGTGGGCGTGTTAGCTTGGGTGAAATAATCAGTGGGATCTAAACAACAATCTAGGCCGTTGATGATGCGAAATGTTAGTATAAGGTCACCACGTAATTGCCTGTAGGAAAGGGGAAACAGGCTGAGGATTGACAATCTGCTTTCATAGGGCAGTGCTCCCAGACCTTGTGTCATTTTGGTCGCCGGTCTCTGGACCTTCCCCAAGACGGTATAATCCTTGGCAGTCCAGGGTCTCGACGCCTGTATGGCGTATTCTAGATGAGGTCGCACGAAAGTGCCAAATATTTTGGAAAAGCAGTCAGGATCAAATCCCATAAATGCTCGCCTAATGAGTTGCAATGTGGCCGTAGCCGATTTAGCCGCCTTCGCGCAGTGCAGTGTTGGTTTGAGTAAATATGTAATTCATACACCCAGGTCCTTCAGACTGTCAACCTGTTGCAATGGTGTGCCGTGCAGAAAAGAGGTCCTGGAGCTGGGGGCTCTGAAGCCGCCGAGTCGAAGAAAGTTACACTTGCTTATATTGAAGGGCATAAGCCAGCGCTTCGACCAGTCTTCGAGCCTGTTCTGGTTTGCTTGCAGGTGGTCTGCGTCTGCCGCATTGTGAACAGCCTTCCACAATTTAATGTCGTCGGCAAACAGGATAGCATCACAGTCTAGGTTCTTGACGCAGTCATTTATGAAAACGAGAAATAACGTGGGACCTAAGACTGAGCCCTGTGGGACGCCACTCACCACGCTTACATCTGAGGACTGTTGACGCCTGACCTGCACTCTTTGGGACCGTCCAGCCAAAAAGCTCTGGATCCATACAAGAAGGCGTCCTCGAATTCCAGCGTTGCGCAGTTTGTACAAAAGACGTTGGTGAGGAACGCTGTCGAAGGCCTTTTTGGAGTCGATATAGATGGCGTGCACCACATTGCCTTCATCACGTGCTTTGATCCATCGTTCAAGCGTAAAGAGCAGATTCGTGAGGCAGGACTTACCATTTCGAAAGCCGTGTTGGGCATTGGAAAGGAGATGATGCTGCTCGAGGAACTGCACCAAGGCCTTCTTAATGATCTTCTCCATGATTTTGCAACAGATGGAGGTAAGACTCACTGGCCTGTAGTTATTCTCAGACGCACGATTTCCACCCTTAAAAAGCTGAGTGATGGTAGCGGACTTGCAGTCAGAGGGCAGGCATCCAGTAACGAATGACGTTTGAAAGACCAAGGCTAACGGCTTGGACATTTCGGGAGCTAACTCCTTCAGCAGCTTGGCCGGGATGGCCTCGGGAGGTCGATTCTTTTAGGTTTAGTAACTCATTCCGAACAATTGTTTCGGTGAAGAAGACGGCTTCGAGGGTAGGCGTTTCTTCGTCTTCATAAGCGGGTGAGGAAAAAGCAGGTTCACTTGTCACGACTGATCGGAAGAACTGAGAGAGATGTTCAGCCTTATCCTTGTCATCGGAGATTTCCACACCCTCAGTCGTTCGCAGCAGTGGGACGGGATCTTTGTTCCGTGTGCTCTGTCTTATGTAGCTGTAAAGGATTTTTGGATTAATCATGGCACGGTTCAAAAGATTCTTTTCAAAAGCTTTCCTATCTCTGGCGAGGAGAATTTTGACCCGATTTCTCTGTAACTTATAACTGCTTAGGGATTCTGGCGTTCGATCCGTCAGTGATCTTTTCCATAGCTTCCTCTTCTTGTTAACTTCCTTCTTTAAGGACGGAGTCAACCAGCGAGGTCTATTTGTTAGTCTTCTATGCATGATTGGGCAGTGGTTGGAGATGAGGTTGCGGACTAACTCTTTAAACTGACACCAAGCCTCTTCGACATCGCCGGAGAGAGTGGATGCCCAGTAATCGAAATCGCCGCGCCAAATATTAGGTCGGGAATCGAGCGGTTGTGCAGGCAGGGAGAATAATGCGTATTCCCACATGAGAACTACATGGTCACTCTGACCCAACAAGGGGAGGCAATTCACAAAGTCGATCTTGTCAGACGACTGGGTGAACAAAAGATCGAGGCAGTTCATCTGTTGGCCTTCTCGAACTCTCGTTGGAATTATTACGTATTGTGTGAGAAACAGGTTGTCGGAGGTATACAGTAGCTGCTGGTCAAATGCTGCTTCAGAGCAGTCGGCTGAGGCCGCGCTCCAGCCGATGTGAGGTGCATTAAAATCTCCAACGATGAGAGAAGTCGGCCGCGTTGAAAATAATCTGAGCTCCTCCAGCAGTTGGGCATCAGCGTCAGGGTCATTTCTCGGGAAGCGATATACTGTCAAGATATCGAGACTTTGAGAGCCCGGTGCCCTTATGGTCAGCCATAATGCTTCGGTACTACAAGTCATTCGGGCAGTTTTTTCTGAAGCGTGCAAGCCATTCTTAACAAATGTTACCAGGCCTCCACTCCTTCTGTTTTCTCTGTCTCTGCGGAACAGTTGATATCCAGGGAGCATGAGCTCTCTATCATCAACCTGTTCAGACAACCATGTTTCTGTTATTGAGATAACGTCTGGATGGAGGTCATAGGTATGGATACGGAGTTCGTCCAGTTTTGAAAGTACACTTTGCGCGTTGGTATACATGAATCTGAGTTTCGAGTTCATGCGATATGTAGTGACAGTAGTGTAAGAAGTAACAATAATAGCAGTGGTAGAAGTAGTATCAGTGGAAGTCGTGGTAAAAATAATGATAGCGTTTTGAGTAGTAGTAGCATCAGTAATAGAAGCAGTTGTATTAGTAGTAGTAGTAGTAGTCATAGTAGAAGAAGACGTAGTTGTAGCAGTAGTAGCGGAAGTATTAGTTGTAGTAGTAGTAATAGTAGAAGTAGTAATGGTAGTAGTATAAGTAGTAGCAGTAGTAGTGGTACTGTTGGTAGTAAAATCAGAGGTAGTAGCAGAACTATCGCTTCTACTGCTGCTACTGGCTGTTCTAATTATATTACTGCCACTGATATCACTTCAACTGCTACGAGTACTACTACTGATATTAATAATACTGCAACTATCAGTCTTTCGTCTACTACTACTACTACTACTACTGCTACTACTACTACTACAACCACCACTGCTAGTACTACCACTACCAACGCTACTTAAACTGCTACCAATGCAACAACTTCTAATACTTCTACTTATAATATTATCTATAAAACAGCTATTATACTACGAGTACTAATAATACTAATTTAGTTCTAAAATTACTTCTATTACTAATGCAACATTTACTACTAACAATTCTTGTGCAACTATTTTTCTACGACTGCTACCTTTAACACTGCTACTAATACACCCACCTCTACTAATATTACTTCTAATGAACAGTTATGACTTCAGCTGATCCTGCATCTAATACAACTAATAGAACTTCTTATATTAATACTACCATTACTGCTAGTACTGCTAATAATTCTACTAATATTAACACTTTTTCGAATACTAATACGAATACTGCTACTAAAACTCCTGATAATACCACTGCTGCTGTTACTACGTGTAATACGTGGCAGTAACATTTATAATTTTTGTAGTAACAAAAGCAGCAGCGTAAGACATTAATAGTATCATTAAAAGTATTTGAATCGGCACAAGTAATAGTAATCGTAGAAGTAGAAGTACAGGTATTAGGAGCAGAAGTAGAAGTAGAAGTATTATTAGCAGTTTTGGCAGTAGTAGTATTCCTATAAGTATTCGAAAATGTGTTAATATCAGTAGTATTATTAGCAGTAATAGCAGTACTGGTAGTATAACTATTAGTAGTAGAAATAGTTGTATTAGGTGCAGGATCAGCGGAAGTAATAACTATTCATTAGAAGTAATATTAGTAGAAGTAGGAGTATTAGTAGTAGTGTTAGTAGTAGCAGTCGTAGAGTAATAGTAGCATACGAATTGTTAGTAGCTAATGTAGCAGTGGTAATAGAAGTAATTTTAGAACTAAATTAGTACCATTAGTATTCGTAGCATGATAGCTGTTTTATAAATAATATTATAAGTAGAAGTATTAGAAGTTGTTGCATTGGTAGCAGTATAAGTAGCATTGGTAGTGGTAGTACTAGTAGTGGCAGTAGTAGTATTAGTAGCAGCAGCAGCAGCAGCAGCTGCAGTAGATGTAGCAACCAATGGTAGTAGTAATAGCAGTAGAAGTGGAAGTAGTAGCAAAATTAATCATAGTAGTCGAAATACTAGTCTTAGTAGTAAAAGCAACGGAAGTATTATTCGCAGTAGTGGTAGTGGTAATAGTAACATTAGTTGAAATAGTAGAAATATTATTGGAAGTATTAATAGTAGAATTAATATTTGTGGAAGAAGCATAAGCATAAGTGGTATAAGTAGTAGATGCGGTTATAGGAGTAGTAGTGGTAGTAACAGTAGGAGTAGTACTGAAGAAGAGGAAGTAGTAGTAGTAGTAGTAGTAGTAATAGTATTCGTAGAGGCAGAAGAATAAGTAGTTATATTCGAATCATCAGCGGTGATTGAAATAAAAGTACTAGAACCAGTATTGCTTACAGAATGGGCGGTATCAGTAATGTATTTGGGCAAGATGCGCTCCGTTCAGCCCGACGATGGGAAACCTTCGCTCTTCGGGAGGCCTCTTCGTATTGGCAGATTGGGTTTCTGCACAGGTGTCTCGACAATAATGTGCTACCGAAATGTGTTTCATACAAGCTACCGGTTAACACGGATTTGGTCAGACGAGCAGTATTTCAACACGGCAGATGGATGATCCAAATGCTCCTCCAAGATTACCACGCGAGACTACGTAAGTACCGTCAAAGGATTGACCAAGAAAAGACCGAATGCTGTGAGTTTATGGGTGAGATCGGTACGAATCTGCTCCTGCGGAAGAAAGCTGAACAAGCCCGCAAACAGAGCATGATATGAGACGCAGCACTAGAGAACAATTTTCGAAAGCTACCCAATGCTACGTCGCCCATAAACGACAAACGGGTGCATAACCTGTCATCAAAGGAGCTGACGAAGGATCAGATGCAGGTTTTACGGCACGAAGCCTCATTTAACACGGCTGACGCCAAACCTGTTAACATGATTGCAGCAGTGGAATCAATCCTTTGTCAGACGGAGACAACAGAGGAGACTAAGAGCCTCATCCGACACCAAGTGTCGTCTCTCCTGATGGCCCAAAGGCCGCGGGAAGTGCTTTCCAAGGTCGAACTTGACGCGCTTAGAGAACCCAAGGCCGAAAAAAACCTGGTCATCGTGTCAGCAGACAAAGGACGCGTCACCGTTGTACTGGACAGGACAGACTACCTTCAAAAAGCCAAAGGTTTACTGGAGGACTGACAGTTCTATGGCCCATGTTCAAAGAAGCCTTTAAAGGCGCCGACACGCGAAATCAATGCTACGTTGTTGGCCTTGGAGATCTCAGGTGTTGACATTCCAAGAACAGCTCAACGCCGTCTTCCCGGACATTCAATTTACGATGGAGGAGGAAGAGAACAACCAGCTGGCCTTCCTGGAGGTCCTCGTATGCCGCAAAGATTGTGATGGACTAAAAACCAAAGTGTTCAGGAAAGCGACAAATACGATGCATGTACCGAACTTCAACAGTAACCACCCAATCAGCCACAAACGCAGTTGTGTAAGGACACTCTATCGGCGTGTCGAAGCGCACTGCAGTGAGCCGGAAGACAAAAACTGCCGAACTATAATACCTCCGACGGGTCTGCAAAGCCAATGGCTACCCGAGCAACTTCGTCGACCGGCGCATACGCAAAAGGGATGAAAGGTCTAACCGCACGGACACCAAATCTTGGCGGGTACTTCCGTATGTCAAGAACGTTTCGGAAGCTGTTGGACGCCTTCTCGCACCACTTGGGGTTGGAGTTGCACACAGACCGGAGGTAATCATCAGGCGTCTGGTTATGAAACCGAAAGACACACTGCCATGGCTGGAAACGTCTGGAGTCTTTTATCGGATCTGGTGCAGTTGCGTACAAAGCAACTACGTCGGAGAAACCGGAAGACAGCTCCAACCAAGAATGGCCGAACAAGCGGCAACTGTCAAGTTGCGGCTCATTCGACGAGATCCGGCCACACATTCAAATTCGATGAGGCCGAAATTCTCGCAAACGGTGACAACCGCGTGAGCCGGGAGCTACTGGAATCATGGTTTACTGGCCCCCAGTCCATCAAAAAGTGCAACGATTTTCCCATTCAATACCCCGTGCTGAGACTTCACCTAGGCGGAGTGACTATCTATGCGGGGAGCGCAGGAGTGAATACTTTTCCCAACACCAGGGTCGGTGAGTCAGATAGTCGAGCGATCGTCACGATGACATCCAACGCACGTGATGAAATTGCAGCAATTAACGACGCGAATGTCGGCCATCACGCCGCGTGCAAAGATCCCTAATGAAGGGGTGGAGCCGTGAATATGCATAGGTATGCAGTAAAATGGCTACTGCATCCTATGAATAAAACAGCCCCTTGTGCAACAACCACCCTTATCTGCTTTTTGTCTCTGATGATGGATTCGAGCAGGAATCCGAAAAGTCAGGCTAATAAAGCTCTTGTCCCAGCGATCGTGCCTCCTACTTCAAGTAGTAGTAGATGTTGTACTAGATGCGATAGCAGTAGTAGTAGTAGTCGTCGTAGCAGAAAAGTAGTATTATAAAATGCATTAGTTTTAATAATATAAGTAGCAGTGGTGGTGGTAGTGGTACCAGTAGAATATGTATTAGTTGCTCTAATAGTCGTGTGATTACTAACATTAGTAGTGATTTTAATAGCAGTTGTTTAATTCGCAGTAGCAGCGGCATCAGCGTAGCATTATTAGTAGTATCAGTAATAGAAGAAGTAGCGGAAGTACTTGTTGTAGTAAAAGTAATAGTGGAAAGCAATAGTATTATTATCAGAAGTGGTAGAAGTGGGAGAATGAATTGTCGCTGTGGAGATTGTAGTAGAACTAGTGTCAGTAGAAGTACTATAAGCTGTAGAAGTTGTATCAGCAGAAGTAGTAGTAGTAGTAGTAGTAGTAGTAGTATCATTAACATTAGAAGTAATGTTTATAGTAGTTTTAATAATACAGTTAGTTGAAGTAATGCCAGTGGAAGTAGTAGTACGAGTTGTAGTAGTAGTAGTTGTAGAAGTAGCAGTAGTAGTAGTAGTAATATTAGTAGCTCTAGTAATGGTAGAAAGGAGAAGAGTTTTTGTTAGTTGCAGTAGTAGTAATAGAGTAGTAACGGTAGCGATAATAATAGTGAGAGCAAAGAAGTAGAATCTGTAGAAGTAGTAGTCGTATATTCAGCATTTGCAAGAGTAGTAAAAGATTTATAATTTGTCGTAGTAATTGAGTATTAGTAGCAGTAGAAGTAATAGTAGCAATAGTA